GCACCGACGGTGTCTGCCCCAACCCTGAGGACCCCCGCCCTCCCCCAGGTGAGGGAGAGGACCCAGCGCCCATGAAGTGGCTGCTCAACAACCGTACCGATTTCTCCGACAACGGTTGGGCACAGCTCCTCCCCAAGGAGAACTTCCAATACGCCGTCATGGGCGGTAACCACTTCACTATGATGAAGGGTGAGCACGTAAGTTACTCCACTCCTACCATCTCCTCAACGACATACTAACAGCATATCAGGGTGTCACACTAGGCAAGCTCATCCAGCAAGGTCTCAAGCTATAAGCTTTGACTCGCATTCATTCCCTCATAGACTTTGTGTATATCGCAAATTGCATGCATCTCCTTTGTTCAAGTGTTGAATATCGAGATGTTGGCGTTGGGCTCTCGGTTACTTGTCTTTGGCATGGCGCTGGCGAAGCTGTCATGACTTGATGGCGTTGGGATTTTACCTTCTTGTGGCTTCATTTGTCTTTTACTTTACGCACACGCTGCGCTTTTTCTCATGTTCACGCACGTTATGATTTTACACTGTACTTAATGCTTGGTTTACCCATAATGGCAAGGGTTTGTTCATAACATCTGGTCTTCATTGCATCGTGATATTGCCTCGTCTGCCCTTCATGACCCTCAGCCTCGCCTCACCACCATGGCAGTGCTGCTTTGCTCGCCTTGTCCTACTTCCTCAGTGCTACTTCCACACTCTGCCTTCTTTGCTCTCGCATAGGTGACTTGATTATAGCCCCAAGATTCGGCCACCCAGTCAAGACATTGACCCCTGAGAACTGCCTCCGGCTCCACAGTCCGACAACCATGGTCTCATGAAGAGCCTCAAGCCCAGGCTCATGGTCTCTGCATTTGTTGGGATTCCAAATATCACCCCCACGACCCTATATGTAATCGACATGTAATACCTCCAGTTACTTGCTTGCATGACAGCGCCATCTCCGAATCAACCCTGTACATGATCGTAGACCCGCGTAGACGTGAAACCACCCCAGGTCCCACCAACAACCCACATCCATGTCTTGCCACGCCTTTGACAGTTCTCTCCGCCGGGACCAAGGGTGTTCTGATCTATTTACCCAGGTGGCTGCAGGTACAACGAACCACCCGACTCGCGGATAAATCCGTGCATGTTCGATCCTCAAATCGCACATGTCGATAACCTACCCGTTATCCCGTCAACCACACAACCGCTCATGCGAGATAGATTAAGCTTTGTCTAGCACGATCCAGATGGCCCCAGTCCGCAGTGAAGGGTCTCTTCCCGTGCGCAATGCAACAGCGGTCCGACGGGAACGCCGTTGGGCGGTTGCAAACATATCTTTGCATCTCCGGACGATCAGCCATCGTATAGCGGGCGTTCTACTGCACATGGTTTCTGGATATGAAGAAGTTCGGGACCGACGTGCGAGGCTCTGAATGACTGGCCGGTGGTTTGGTTGGCGACTCTGCATCAGGGGCCTGGTTCGTGGCGCCCTGCATAAATTGAGATGCAATATGGGTTCGCAAAAGATACTGAGCTTGATGATGCCTATGTTGTTGTTCAGCGTTCTTTCGGCCCGGTACCGAAACGGGAAAGTCGCGAACTGCAGTTCCATACTTTGACCACTATAGGGTACCGCATTACACATCTCGGATCGAGAAGCTAGCGAGTTGCTAACCCTTCGTGCATCGCCGCGGTGCAAAGTGAATGACGTCCGATAAATGCGTGCTTCGCACATGGTGACCTACGCATTGTTCTCAATGGATGCGGCGCATCCCTCCGTCTTCGCTTGGAGGTTTGTGGTGGGGATGTACTTCAAGCTGAGCAGAACAGGTTAATTCTCGGCATACTGAACCGTGCTGTGCGACGGATTGGGAACATTTCAGTGGTCCCTTCTTCCGATTCCCGTTGCCCGCAAACAGCCAAGCATCTACTCAGCTGTTCCGGTTCACGTGACTGCAACACTGTTATCACAAGTAAATGTATGCAGTCATAAACCCTGATCTCACGCGTCGCACAGCGTCCAAGGTGCATTTCCGGAAACATGGTATCTGGAGCGAAGTTGCCGGGCGCCTGCCACTCTCCAAACTCCGCAAGCATCCTGGGTAAAACCCCGGAAGCGCTCAAGTTCGCTATCGCGGGGCAGCAGGATGTCCGCATCTCACCGTACGTTATTCATTACGGGGCTACCTGAGCCCTGCCACTGAGTCAAGCTTCAAGTGGAAAGTTGGCTGTCACATCGCTCCCGCGTTCCTCAGCTGGCAAGCGAGCGCCCGCCACGTCATGCAATCACAGTAATGTGCAGGGCGCCTCGCTGACCAGCTACTCAGCCATCTCACTGCAGATGTTCTTTTGCAACGGTACCAAGAGTGACGTGGGTACATGAAGTCAAGACACGCCCAGAGCAGGAATGTCGATCAGAGCCAATCCGACCTGCAGTCCCGAGAACCGGTCTGACAGCTGCATCGCCGCATGCGCCGCGGGCTGAATGATGATGATCACCACGATGATCAATATCGAATTCCTTCTCTGATGCAGAGTAGCTTTCCAGAAGCGGACGATCGAAACATATCTGCCGATCTATAATCACTTCTAGGATGTGACCCTGATGCATGAAGCATAAGTGCTATCCTTGGCCTTAACGAGACAGAACTAGATCTCATGCTGCGAAGACCCGAACGCTACTAGGCCGTGTGTCCTGAACGGATTTGCGTTGTTCAATCCGTATTCAGCTCGGGACGAAAGAAAGCAATGGTTAGCCAGTGTACAGTGTAGCAGTATTCGCTGACCAATGGATTCGACTCGGAGGCATGCATCGAGGATACGGGCAATGGTCCAATGCGCTGGCAGAAACGCTTGGTCGGCGAGGATACGCCAGAATGATATGCTCGGAGAATAGTGAGGAGGTCCGAACGCGCATCTGCAAGGCCGTAAGCAGCTATTCCTGAAGCGCACTCAACAGTGGCGGCTGCAACCGCTGGTCGCAGCCTTGAGCGTAATACAGCCCATATTTTCTTTACGATGATTAAGTTTGTGGCTTGTAACGATACGACAGCCTTATGGCGCGACGAGGAGTTGGCGGGACGGGGAGCGATTGGTTCGGTTTTGCCTGGCTGAGTAGTTCACAGGCATCGATGGTCGCATCTTACATGATGTTAGCCTTGCAGTAGTTTTCGATAGTCCTCGATGAGACGACCAGGGCTGCGGATTGCTGTCTCCATAGGGCAGAAAGTATGGCCGCCCGTTGCGCTAGACCTTTTGCTATCCGTGTATGCGATAGAGGCATGGGATACCAGTGGATGAGGTACGTACTGCATGAGCTCCAGCCACAGATGTGGCAGTTGGCTTGATTATGACCGAACCCGAGGCCGTCGAGCTGCCGTGCTGTATGTACAACGACCTCATTATCGTGGCGGCTAGCTGCGGATAGGGGGATCCGTGCTCTCCCATCGAATCCCAGGAGAATGGAGTCTTTTCGTAATCCTGATGCTGATGATAACGAGGTGCTACCCGTGTAGCGTTCAGTAGTGTACCAGGCGTACGGCAGGGGCGTGGCATGCAAGCGATGCTAGGTGGTGAGATCATATATTATTAGCCAGATCGGCCGGTATGCTTGCATAAGCCGGCTAGCCAGGTCGGGCGACGGGCGAGATGTGAAGAACGCTGGGGCGGGGCGGAGGGATTTGGGGTCTCAAGGGGCGGAGGGGCGGAGGGGGCAGCTGTCCCGCCAAGGAACGCGGGCATAGCGGGGCATTTTCTCCGAGACGCGAAACCTTGAACGCGAGCAACGCGAACGACGCTGACGCATATAATTTCAATTCGCAATGGCTGATGTAGCCAAAGGTGGGAGGTGAGTACTGCAGCAACTCTTCAAACTATAGCTAATCATCTGGTAGTGGTCCCGAAAGTATGCCTCCCAACTTCGCCGATACGCTCACACATCTCTGACAGCCTCCCAGCGAACCCTCGCGGTATACCCGTTGCGCCCTTCATAGACCGGGTTCGAAGTCCCTCCGCCTTTGGAATGCGTGGATCTAACATCAGCAGGTTGAGGACTATGTCACCGACCGCGCAGATGTGGAGAAGACCATCAACAACTTCAAAGAGATGATCTCGTACGCCCAACCCAGCCAGACACCTCCTTATAGATAGCGATACCTAATACGCCGCCCCAGAAAGTACCAATTCATGCAGCAAAACACCCAACGGCGAGCCGCAGGTCTCAAGGACAAGATCCCCGACATCCAAAAGACACTCGAGACAGTGCGCTTCCTGAAGTCGCGGAAAGACGACGCAGAGCCTCTCGAGACCACCTTCGAACTCAACGACACACTCTACGCCAAAGCTGAAGTTCCCCCTACCGACGAAGTCTACCTGTGGCTCGGCGCCAACGTTATGCTCTCATACTCCATACCCGAAGCCGAAGAGCTGTTGCAATCGAAACTGTCGACCGCGAAACAGAGTCTGGGCACTTGTGAGGAGGACTTGGACTTTCTACGTGAACAGATCACAGTACGTATTCTCCAAGTGGTCTGGAGAGTATGCAGCTGACACAATTACAGACACTCGAGGTCGCCTTCGCGCGGGTTTACAACTGGGATGTTGCACAACGGAGGAAAGAGAGGGAGGGAGGCGAGTCGACAGAAGAGAAGAAGGGTGCATCATCGAAAGAGTGAGGGTTAGAGTCTCTCTTCTCTCATTGCACAGAAAGGGAGCTCATGTAGCCGAGCGGCGCATGCGACGAAATGTAGAAGCCAGTAACACAAGGCCATGGCGACAATGAGAATCTTCATGAACAGCTTCGAGCCAGATGCGTGCAGAACGTGAAGGCACGCTTTTTGTTCGTCAATTTTATGTACAACTAATAAACCTTCCGACCATGCGGAAGAAAGGACATCAAGTCCCAACTAACGATACTATTAACAACCATCTTCCCTCTTCGACATGGGAACACAGCCACCATTACCCATGCATTACCGCGTATCCATACATCGATCCAGCTCAGAGGGTAATCTTGACACCACCCGCCGCAGTCTCAGTAGCATTCATAGGTGCCATGCCTTTGCCAGTCTGCTCCTTGACGTACTCGTTCATCATCTTGGTAATGGCGACCTGGCCACCCCAAGTAACGGCGGCAACCATGCTGTCAACCTCCTTCATGGTCATAATGATCATACCCTTGGGGGCCTTGACATCACCGTATTTGTCAGTGCTGGAGGCTTTGGTCTCCGCGCGGCGCTCCGGTTTGGCGGCCAAGGTGCTGTTTGAGGCGGAGCCTTCAAGGGCTGGCTTCTCACCTTCGGTCGATGGCTTCTTCTCACCCTCAGTGGACGGCTTTGCTCCTTCAGCAGCTGGCTTTGCGCCTTCGGCTGTTGGCTTCTCGGCCTCAGGAGTTGGCTTAAGCTCGGTTGGGCTAGCAGCGGCTGCGGGGGCCTCACCGGCAGGCGTCAGACTAGAAGATGTAGCAGGCTCAGCAGCAGTGGGCGTCTGTCCCTCTGCAGCGGCAGGCTGAGGCGCGGCAGCTTGAGGGGCTTGGGCGGGCTGAGCGGCTTGCGCACCGCCCATCATCTGCATCGTAAGGATGTACTCTCCATCAACTTGGCGGACGGGAACGGCAATGCGCATGTTGGTCTGGTCGAGAACGGCATTGGCCTGGATTGGGGTGAAGGTAGGCGCAAGAAGAAGCTGAGCTGCGACAGGGTTGTTGCCGTTGGTAGGTGTACCCTGTTGTGTGCCCTGCGGTACGGTCTGCGGTGTGCCTTGTTGGATCTGGCGGGCGACCTCCTGTCTGAACTCGTCGCGGCTGAGACCACGGCGCTGGGTAGCGGCTACACCAGCGGCTCCACCGAGGTTCCCTGTTGCACCTCCGGGGTTCTGGAGAACACCGCGCTGGGCGACTGCGACTGCGACCTGGCCAGTAGGGGGGACTCCCATGGCTTGCATCATCTTCTGGATACGGACAGGGTTGACTATATCTCTGTTAGCCTCAGATGCAAATGAAAGGAACAATGACTTACGGGGCATCTGAATGACGGTGACTTGCTGGTTCAGATCCGGAGTGACGGCAGCCAGGTTGGTTGTGACCGAGTAACGGTAGTCGTTGACCGGGGCCTGGCCCTGAAGAGCAGCAAGCATACCAGAGTCAACACCATCTTTGACATCGACGTTCATGGTCATGGGCTGAGTAGCACGGGTAGACATCCTGAAGCCATCCTGGAACTCGTTCTCTTGCAGACCGGTACCCTGAATTGCCACTGAGGTGCTGCCATCACTACCGAAAGGAGTGACCAGAGTGTTGGTTTCAACAGTCTGGCGGCCAACAACCATGTATTCACCGTCCATCTGAGTACGCTTGACCATGCGGACCGTCATATCAGTGGTGTTGACACTCCTCATAGTCTCCTGGATCATCCAGGACTGACGGTCGGGTGACAGCATAGCCACATAGGTGTTGTCCGGCTGCACCGCAGCGCCCTGCAAGTTCTGCATGGTCATGGCCATCTCGATCTGGCCACCAACTAGATCGGTAGCGCCATTTGTGCTGATGATCATGGATTGCGGCGAGACAGCGACGAAAGACTGACCAGTCGTTCCTGTGACCTGGTTGGCGGGGATGGCAGGTGTTTGTTGATTAACGATTATCTGCTGCTGTTTCTGGGAGAATGTCTCGACCCTAGAGCGGTCGGGGAATTGGAATGAGTTGAGTTTCATCTACATCCATTAGTCCGATGCCATTGCGGCTATTCGCAAACATGAATTACTTACATCGCCATTGAGATTAAGAACTTGGTTGTAAGACACTTGTTGCGTTTGTCCTGTTTGAGCGAACACCTGTGTACAGCTCAAGAGGAGGAGAACGAGGGAAGAGACAGTACCGGACGTCATGTTGGTAGTAAGAAAAGCCACCTGGGCTTGGAAAGTATTAAGTAATAAGAGGGAAAGAAAGATTACTAAAAGAAGAGCGAGAGAATGGCGGAGCAACTGACCAGACTTGCTGCAGCAGAAAGGTACTCGAACAGTCAGTTGTGGCACAGCAGCTTATTATGAACTTCGCGTCTCGTACCATGACTTCGGCTTTTGGTCCGGCGTATCCCGATCCGGTCAATGGGGTTTCGTGTCGTGCTCCAAGAATTGATGGCAAGATGTTCCGGAGTATGGAGTTACATAGCCTTCAGGCATTTTCAACCCCTTCGGACTGAGGAGGCCCACACAAAACTTGCTATGGCTTCTTGATACGCCCGTGTCACTCGACGAGACCTGTGTCCTTACAGGTATGGTGTCGGCCAAGAGATTGCTCGACTGACGGCAATGCTTCTTTTCGAATCTGGTTTCAAACGTCAGGCAGGACGTTTAGTTTGCGCATCTGGGACGGATTTGCCGGAAAGCTTAGCCCTAGTGACTTGCGAGACAACTCGACTGGTGGCGATACGGTGCTCGGGTAGTGAGACTAATATGGACATTTGTATTCATGTGACAACAACGAGAGGAATCAATGCGATGCTCACAAGTCGGAGTAAAGTCAATGGCGTCGAGAGAACTGTTGATTTTCGTCTCTTTCGCTGCGCTGCCTGCAGCAGCCGGTGCAAGTGCCGCCACAGTGTTATCGATGCAGCTTCAAACCGCGGGGGCTAGTCGCAAACGACCGTTCGTGAGGCATGAAGGATACTATGAGTAATTACGTCCAAAGTTTATCGCTCGCGCATCGCATCGTCAAACGACGATGTTTGGAGTGGTGTTTCGCGAATGCAGTTTGTCGCACGAAACGATCGCCCTCGGCTGCCTAGGCTCGAACTAGTCCCAGAACGACAACCTAACGATAACCGGTTAGGTAAACGTTTGCAACAGTTTCCCAATCCGACAGAATTGTTCACATTTCTTACTATAGTAGAAGCTACGAGGCTGAGAACTATTGGTAGCCGCGTCCACTGGGTGCCTTTACACTGCCACTCGAGAAGGTGGCCTTGTACTTGCCATCCATGGCCTTTGATCTCTGCTTGCTGCTTATGCCTGTCCGGTCCGTGGTAGGTTGCGCTGCCATGAAGCTATCGAATTCATCATCATCTGCATCGCCTTCCGCGGGCTCGCTGTCGTCCTCCACTTCGGCTTTGGCATTCTCCGGTGCAGGTTCCATTTGAGGTATGCGTTCGGGTACCTTCTTGTCGCCCTCGCCTTCATCTTCATCATCCTTTGGTGCAGGGTTGGTAAAGGGCTTCGATGCCAAGACACGGCGCCTTAGCTCAGCCATCTCTTCTTCATCGTCTGAAGATTCTGGGATGTTATACGGGTTTCGCGGGTCAACCTCGTCTTCTTCCTCTCCATCCTCATCCTCATCCTCATCCTCATCTGATTCGTCGATAACCCGCCGATTCATGTTTCCACCCGCCCAGACGTCCTCTTCCACGCCATCCTCTTTCTCTGTGCGACTCGTGTTGTACTCGCGCTCTATTTTCTCTAGCCAGACTTCCTCAGCCTTCTTGATTTGTTCTTCGTTTTCACACGCCATGTAACGCTTGAGCAGTGCGGCATTGATGTCCAAGAACGCTTGACCATAGGAGAAAGTCGAGAGGATCGACTCGGCCCATTCAGGGTGTCCAGTGATATAGTAACAAGCCGCCAGAGCTTCGACACAGTTCAATCGCCAAGGACGACCGTAGTTTGTTGGATTCGCGGCGACAAGGTACGGAAGTAGGCGTTCGCATTTGCCACCTATCCTGCCAAATGGGACTTCGTCTATCCTCTTCCAGCTGGCTTCTACGACCGCAGCGCCGTATTGCTCCATCAGATCCTTGTCTTCGCGACTCAGTATCTTCTTCGCCTTCGGACTGACCACTACACCAGCAAACTTCTGCCCTACGTGAAGCTCGCGCATCATGCCCAGGCGCATGAGCCTCTTGCCAGAGCAGCGTTTCGCATCGCAGTGTCCGAGGTCCCAGCATGCGGCTTTGAACTCGGGCTTCGCAGGTCTCGGGTTGGCGCCGTCGTTCTCCTCTTCTTCTGCATCTGATGCGCGGCGGGGGCGAGGAGGCGCGCGTGCTTTCGCTGGGTTTCGGAATTTGTTGTTGCCCTTGAAGTCTTTCTTGTGGCGGACCATGGTGACTTGCTGGTAGGTCTTGAAATAAAGGTGTTTTGCGGTTTGGGGCTGAGTGAGTTGCAGAGTGGCGGGGCAAGAGTGAGTGGAATAACATTTGAACATCGTAATCGATAAGGCGCGCTAGTGCAATGACGTTGTTTGATCAGTTACGCGCCAAAGGTGGATCGCGTCACTTAGCCCATAAAGTATCGCTGCATGGAACTCATTGTGCAGATCGCGGCAAGTACTTCATTTGTGCTTTACGAGTTCGTGGATCTGGCAGCTGTGTCGCGAAAGCTATGAAACACCAAGGCTCGAAATCTCCCCCATTTCGTTCTTCTGCTGTCCACCAAGAGAATACGCAGCCTTCCACCTCATCTTGACACTGGTCCCTGACCCTCTTTGCACGTTGGTTACTCGGATGTTCTGAGTAATGCCAAACTTTTGGTTCGGTCCAAGGTTGACACCAGATTGTGGCTCCAGCTGTAGTTGCGCGCCCTAGCGGTTGTTAACTCATAACCCTGCATTCGTAGCTATAAAACTTACCTTAGACGCCGCCAACAGAAAGGTCAAACCGGAGATTGGAAGTGGTGTATTATTCGACACCCGCGATTGAATCAGCAGCGTGGTGTCCGATTCTCTCGAAACGTTGAAGAGGACATTGATACTCGTGTTGGTAACGGAGATCTCCTTGGACGTATCAGGTACAGATGAGGCAAAGTCCCACTCATCGTCATCGTTCGCAGCACTGGTTTGTGCCAGGTTAGTCGTCGGTGCAGACACCCCGCCTCCTAACAGGTCGACAGCACCGGATGCAGGTTGTGGTGGTTTGATGGATTGTTGGTATTGGAAAGGCGATCCTTGCCGTGGTGTAGAAGTTAGGGCCGCAAAAGGATCAGGTGTCCTAGCTGGTTGCACTGGGGGAGGAGAGAATGCAGATTGAGGAGGGGACGTGATTGGGGATTGCGTAGGCTTTGGCGCTGCTGTGAAGAGATCGGTGATAGCTTGGTTGGATGCCTTTTGCGATTGTGGCACAGCCATACCAGACATGCCCAAAACTAGTGAGCGTTAGTAGACGGATACTCATTGTGATAACATGACTGACCTGAGCCGTTTGAGCCTCCCAAAGATATGCTGCCTGATTGTCCATATGTATCTCCGCTTAGAGACAAGCCCAGCAAATCGTCCTCGAGAGCATTGCCTGCCGCAGCTGGCTGTTGGGAAGTCTGCGACGATCCTGCTATCTGAGGCGCGGGCTCTGGGTCGCCGAAATCAATCAGGTTCAACGTGTTGTTGGGACCCTGTGATACACCAGCACCACTGCGACCAAGTGTACCTTGAGGAATGTTATTCGCCGCCTCGATGTCGCCTTTCTTGAAAAGCTTGTATCTCTCTATTGTCCGGTGTATGCTATCGTTGATTTCGAAGAGCTTCGCTACAGCTTCGTGGTCTTCGGAGTCCTCTTCGCACATCTTCTGTATCTTCGGCTGCGCGTTTTGGAGAGCGTTGGCAAGTTCCTGTCATCTGGTCAGCCAATGTCGCTTGCCTACTACCTCAGTTGGCATACCTCAAAGACGTCGCCCTCTTTGATCTGATCGCCCGGCTTGTAGCCCTGTAACATCTCCTCGAGTATCTTTGCCTTTTGCTGTATTCTTCCGACTTCTTCGGCAGCCTTTGCGCGCCAATCCGTTTTGTTCCTGGTATCGTATCCGGCCATGACTTTCATGAGCTTGTTCGCTTCTTGCAGATCCGCGGGTCCACCACGACGAATTAACTCCTGAAGCTTCGCGGACTGTGCCTCTCGCTCTTCTTCGGCCATTTCTTCTGCTGATCGGAGATTCTGCGCTTTGTCAGCCATATGCTTCGACCGGCAGGATTGCGGGTACGTACATCGCTAGGGTTTAAGACGGCGGCATCTTCCTTGCGCACTTCGGGAAAGATGTAGCCCTTGTAACTCAGCAGTCTGTGCATATCCCTTATGAAGCCTAGGTCGTCCTTGTACCGCGATGTCTGACATATCGTCTGCCGCCATTCTTCTATCAGCTCGAGGATCTTGTTCTGCACACGCGTCGAGTGCACAGGTGGACGTTCGGGGAATCGGCGGACGAGCTCATTGAGGAATTCCTTTGTGCTGATCTGAAGGTGGAATGGGTAGCCGCAGTTCTTGACGCAGATGTCTAGGAGCTATCTTGTGGTGAGCTATACGGTGTCTGAGGCGGGGCAGCGTGGGCGTACATTGAGCGCGAGGAGTGCCACGTTCTGGTTGCGGTGGTTGACATAGTGTACGATGGTAACAGCTGCTTCCCGGGGCCTGGGACGTAGTTAGCCTGCTGCCGGTAGTGGTAGCGTGGCCTGATCTTACGCGGAGCCTTTCTTGCTGTTGATCAGGTCGGAGATCTCGAGGTTCAGGGCCAGATTAGGCTCAAAATTTTGCGGATCGCAAGCTTGTACTATTTTTTGCCAGGTCAGTTCTGCCTTGCACGGGCGTGGCTACGTTGTGCATACGTATGTAGCGCTGCAGTGGTGAACTGGGTGCCTCTCCGAATGCGCCGTAACGATCCCGGGCGGCCATGCGCGCAGACGCTGCCTCCATTGCGCCGCCGGAGGACTTGGATGCTGAGGCTCTAGGCTAGGAGAGGAGAGCGATTCCGAGATTTGAGAGGGTAGAGACGCGTCCGTCGAGGCTGGTTGTATCTATAACCTATGTTCTTAAGAATTGGTGGGGATTGGAATCGCGGCAGCTGTCCGCCTACTTCGCATGCCTTGGCGCCACCGCAGCTGCTACGTAATGCGCCTCATTTCACATGTTTCCTCG